TGAGGGACAGCGCCCAGGCCCAGAGTTCAGGCCCCATGACCGGACCCCCCCCCAAAATAAAAGAGCCAGCAGAGCACAGCACCCCAACCCGGCCTGCACTCAAGCCCCACTCCTTCAAGAAGCTCAGCCATCTTCCCCCTATTGCCCGCAGTGTACTGCCAGAGGCAGGAGACTGTGCCTGGAGCTTGTTCTGTGCTTCCTGAGGAGCTCAGAACCTCGTAGGCAGTCTAAGTCTCTCTATGATCAACAGGAGTTGATCACTTCAGTGTGGCCAAAGTTAAAGGACAAGTTTTCAGAATTCTTTATGAAACTGTAGTCAACACACTAAAATCTCAAATGTTTCACTAGCACTACAAAACTAAGTCTCTACTAAAAAGAATGTGTACGTAAAACCAAGAGCACAGCCAGGCCGAGGGGCAAATCCTTGTAATCACAGCGCTCACAGGCTGGGGCGAGAGGCTGGGAAATCCAAGGACAGCCTAGCTACGTGGCACAGGACAATCAAAAACTTTCACAATATAGAATTTGAGCGTCTCCCTCTCTGGGTCAGAAGCCCAGGACAGGGGCTGTCACCCTGGAGCTCGGCTCAGCCTGTACCTGATGGTTCCCGTTGGGGAGGGGAGGGGGCTGATGAGGTGGGCCATGGTGTCTGGAATGTTGATGGTCAGGGGTGAGATGTGTGGCTGCACGGGCTTCACTGGAGACACGGGCGCCTCTTGCTTCTCCCTCTTCTCACTGGACAGAGCTGTGAACGTGATCTTGATGTTTGTGCTCGGAAACCTGAATGTGCATCTGAAAAAGAAACACTGATGGTCAGCAGCTGTCTGCCGCCCACCACACCCCATCCACACCCCTGCCGTCCCAGAGCGCCCTCCGCCCGTTAGGGAGCAAGATCATAAGAGACTCAAAGACACTTGTCAGGACAGGAGCAGTGCCCAAGTCTGTCATGTCTGGGAGGTGGAAATGGGCAAACGGTGGTCTGAAAACAGCCTATGCATAAAAGTTTGCAAGACTATCTCACTCAATGGCTGCAAAGCCATGGAGAAAACACGGTGACTGGGCTGTCACCACCTGTCACCCCACTGACTAAAGCAAGCACAAACAGAAGCATGGAAGTCCAGGCTGGCTAGTACAAAGTCAGACCCTATATTGAAGAAAACTAGTGCAGAAGGGACTGGCAGAGGGCCTAACGTGGTAGAGCCCGCTCTGCCAGTGCAGGCTGAGTGCAAACTCTAGCACCTTAGTGCCTGTACAAAAAGAAAAGAAAAGGAATAAGTAACAGACGCACTCTTACACAAAGCCACTGGTCAGACCAGCCAAGTAGAAAAGTAAGTACAGGACTCAACGACTCAACTGCCACTTAATCTTTATGACTCCTTTGGTAAGCAGGCAGGTGTGTGCTAGGCTGGGGACCGGGCTGCGCTCAATGGCACAGTGCGCGCCCTGCACGGGCGAGGCCGTGAACCCACCAACAGCACCACTCCCTTCAAAAAGGAGTGCTGTGTGAGTATGTGTGCGCCTATGTGTTTGGGTGTTTACTAAATTGTAAATGACTTGAACACTACTTGGTGTGCATCCTATAGAAGTAGGACTGTAATAAAGAAAGAACAACCAGCCAGGCGGCCAGGCCCACCCCGGCTGGCGTGCCCGCTCTCTGAGACCCCTCCCACCCTGTCCCCGCCCCCTTTTTGGTCTGCACGTGGATTCCAAGGGCATGCTTCTCACTTCCAGGGAGAGACAAGAAGGTGCAGTGCAACTAGACTGCACGCTAAGCATAAAACCTTCGATAGGTTTTCTTTTTCTTTTTTTTGTCAGTTGTGGGGCCTGAACTCTGGGCCTGGGCGCTGTCCCTCAGCTCTTCAGCTCAAGGCTAGTGCTCTACCACTTGAGCCACAGCGCCACTTCTGGCTTTTTCTGCTTATGTGGTGCTGAGGAATCGAACCCAGGGCCTCATGCGTGCAAGTCAAGCACTCTACCACTGAGCCTCCTTCCCAGACCCTATACATTTTCTTAGAGTGTCATATCTGCCATACAACTCTCAATTTGTAATGCAGATGATCACATTTAACATTTTAAATCATTAGTCGCCCAGAACCCTAACTCTGCAGGCCACGTCGCTCTCCGCACTCCACCACTGTCAGCCCCACTCCTCAGCACAGTTTTTTATCCTTCCCATACCGGAAGATGAACCCCTCTCCCCACAAAGAGCAGACACACCATGGAGCTGGGAAGAAACACAGATGCAGGTGCAACACCCCCAAGAAAGTTTGCACAGAGACACTTAGCAGCCTCAAAAACAAGGCACCGTGGGGCTGGGAAGGTGGCTCAGTGGTAGAGCGCTTGCCTCGCACGCATGAGGCCCTGGGTAGGATTCCTCAGCACCACATAAGCAAAAAGAAAAAAGCTGGAAGTGGCGCTGTGGCTCAAGTGGTAGAGCGCTAGCCTTGAGCTGAAGAGCTGAGGGACAGCGCCCAGGCCCAGAGTTCAGGCCCCAC